TGGATTTTTAAATACTGCATGTACATTGCAAACTCTACAAATGACAGAGAGGACTCTCTCAACCAAACATTCTACAGCTACTTTACATTAAATCGTAATCAATAAGGCTCTTGTTATGTAAACATCTACATGATGTCTTTTGTAATTACATTATACTAACAAAGAGCTAGCTTTAACATTACTGATAAAAGATCATGCGTAGCCTTCAAGGACTTAAATTTACAACTTTTAAACCATGAATGAGAATACAGAGTGTTTTTCAGAAGGATGACCTCATCCTGATATTGCAGAGATGCAGTCTTTTAATAAAAGCACTTCCCATGAGCCAAGGCTGCCACCAAGAGGCCAACGTAAAAGTTGCTACTACGTCTCACACCAGGTGATGTCATAGTTTAAGAAAGAAAGAGTTAGAGAGACTGAGGCAGGAAGGCTGAGAGGGAGGGATGGAGAAAGGGTGATGTCATATTTTCAGAGCAGTGGAAGCTCTGTCTTTGTCCAAACTCTTTCATTAAACTCTGCAAATCCACACAGAGGTTAAGAACAACTGATCCTACGGAGGTATCTGTCTGATATTCACATGATATCGTTATTTTTAACTGTTTTTGAAGAAAGACATAACATTCCGAGTCCTCATGGTCAATCTGGCCAAAGACTACACACTACATCCTTCAGGAGGCCAATTCAGTCCTTGTCATTCCAGACTATTCCGCTCTCTCCAATCCATACCCAACAATTTCATGCCATTCTAGACAACTGCAACTGAATTCCATACTATACCATTCAAAATAACCACCGCCTGTCCTGAGTGCAATCTCTCCTGATTCTGCCCATGACAGGCAAATTCTCCTTCCAACAATTGCACTGTGAAAAACAATGTGCGAAGACACACAAAGACGGAGAGGTGGAGGTAGAAATAAAAACAAAAACAGTGATGCTGGAGGAAAGACAAGAGGAAGCACACATCCAAACTAATCCTTTAATTTTAGCAGTGAGAAAGTGACCTTTAAGGTACTTTGTTGAGAGGGGAGTCACACACATTTACATATTCTGTGTGTGTGTGTGTGTATATTAGAGAAAGAGAGAGGAGAGAGAGAGAGAGAGAGAGAGAGGAGAGAGAGAAGAGAGAGAGAGAGAGAGAGAGAGATCAAATCTTCTGTTAATGTACATATTTTTATTGCACAATTTAGTTTGGCAATTTAAATGTCCATGTTTCCCATGCCAACAAAGCCCCACAGAGTTGAATTGAGAAAGAGGGGGTTCTGAAGCTTCATCTGTGAAGGATCAAGGCATCTCCGAGCTACATAGTGAAGTGAAAACATTAGTTGGAGTGGTAAATAACAGTTCTGCTCTTTTGCTAAGCTGTTACACCTGGAGGACACACAGATACACAAAAAGACACACACTCTACTAATAAAATCTGTCTGCTTGTAAAGGCACTTCACTGACTTAAAGCCTAGTTCACACTACACAATTTCTAGGCCTACTTGCCGCTCAGCGAGCTCGGCGACCATCTGTGGTTGGGAGTAAATCAGCGGTTGATCAGCGGTCGGCAGTTGTTATGTGTGAACTACTCAACGACACATCTAAATGGCTCCCCGACGCATTTCTGACACATCGCCGACGTCTGCCAGATATCTAGCACAAAACCTGGTTTGGAGACCACGTCGGGTGCCACAGCCGCGGTCAGCTCGTGTAGTGTGTGACCCCCTGTCACAGAACAGTCACGTAGTGTGAACGCCACAACAACTTCAATACTCTCATAGGCCGACGCTGAAAGTTGTGTAGTCTGCACAAGGCTTTACTCTGGGTTTTCAGTCCTACACAATGGTTCACGTCCAGGATACATCGCCATAGTAACGCATTTTGAATGGCTAACCTGCTCTGGAGCAGATTATGTTCGAGATAAGACAACACTATAAAAGCACCGCCTATTGACCAATCAGTTCTCTTGTGGCATCACAAATTGTAGAAGATCCCGCACACTGTATTACTGGCTGCTGCAGAGATGCTTTTATATTCTGATAGCATCCTACAACAGAGACTGACTAAAGCCTTGTACTAGTTGTACTTTTAAGATTTATTTTGGGATTCAAGTTAATAATATTATATATATCTATTATGAGACTGTCACATACCACCGCACCTTCTGCTATCTGGGTGCAGTAATTAGGTGAGCTTTCAGTAAATGTTGGGAACTCAAGCAGTGGTGCAGGTCCAACCTTTCAACCACAGCCGCTACAGCTGAAAGAATGAGGTTAACAACCATTCCGGTGTCAGTAAGGTCACCGGTGTCAGTAAGGTCAACATACACACACACACAATTACAAGTACAAGCAGGTACACAATTACCAATGTCAATTGAAAACACGACATGATCACAACCTCTTGCTAATGCATGTAGTCACGCAAATGATATGTAAAGGCGCCTGAAAGCCATTAAAACAGAACTAGTCCAACTGACACACTGTCTATTGACCCTACATCACCTTTATTCTGTTTTAGTGTAAAGTGTCTTTCTCACAGGGATCCGCACGAGTGATGTTTCTAATCTTGAACAATGACGACTGTCAAACAGAATACACAAATGTGTTTTATTTCATAATGTACTGTATAGTGACAGAAGTGAAATATTTTATGAGCACAGATATATATACACCACTATTTGGGAGGACTTCTACGGAGCTGAAATCCAATGAAATAAACCGCTGTAACATTTACATTTAACACTTTTTGAAACCAGCCTGCCTGTATGGTCACTGCATGGTCCTGCTTTCAGGAAGAGAGAGGAAGACAGAAACAAACCTAATCCAGAGATTAGAAAAACCCAATATCCATAACAGCAAGTTTTAACCTTATTACCTTAGAGTGTATTACATTACACCATCTTGAAATGTGAATATCTGCTGTGGACAACCGGAGAAGCTATGTGCTGTAATTAGATTCTAAGACAGGCAGATATTCCCCTTACAGAAATCAACGTGGGAATAGAAAATAACTCTAAAAACCCACACTCACTTCCTGAAAGACAACTGCCACAGTTGCACTAAATTACAAAGCTGAAATAGATCTACGGTTAGACAATTAGGCACAGTAAATATCAAGCCTTCGTAGATACTTGTACTGTGGTTTGTGTGTGTGTTTGAGTGAATGACTACATCTGCATTTTTGAAGTGTGTGATTAAATGTCCCCCTAAGGCTGTGAAGACCCCATGGTGAGATAAATGTCTGAGGCGTTAATATTAACTCTCTCTTCATCTGTCTGTCTCTGTCCCCCTCTTTCTCTCTCATGCTCTCACAAACACACACACACAGAAAACTACTGCATACAGAAAATACAATACAAACACTCATACTGTATTGCAGGCAGGTATTGTACAACTAACCACACATAACCTGGCAGAACTATTTTTAACTGACAATTCATTACACACACGTTGAAATAATGTAGACAGTCATTCTCTGTCTCACTTTGCTTTGTCTGTGTCTGCCTTTCTCACCTGTGCGCACACACACAGTAATGGAAATTACTGATACAAATGTTCCAGAACACACACACACACTTAATCCCTCATGAAAGACCTCTGGTAATCTAGTCCATCATATGTCTGGCCTCCATGCAAAAATACATGCAAAAGTAAACATGAAAGGAAGCATTCAAAGTAGTCACGTTTGGTTTACCAATCTGTAATCTGACACCTGCCAACTGTGAGGTACATTCTGATTCTCACTCTGTCAGGAAAAAAATAAACATTTAAACTACAGATAATGAAGTCTAACCAAGATCTCCTAACCTTAACAAAGTACTTTTTTGACCCTAAACCATAATCAATCCCTAGCCAAGTCCTTTTTGTGCCTTAAAAGGTGAGGCATGCAAATCTGGAGAAATCCACCATGGTAAATGACAAGGCAATTAATGTAACTAACATTAGTTGTGGGTTAGCAAACTATCGCTGCAGTTGCTGTGGCAAAGCTTACATGCAGAGAAGGACAGGTCGGTCACTTAAGAGAGACAATTATGAATACATAATATTGGATAGATATAACATTACCACAACATAATAACATTTTGAACTGAACAATTCATGTTTTCATCTTCCTGTATGTTAAAAAAAACAACTGTGCAACACTTACTGACTTACAGGAAGAGTTTGCTCTATATTTAACCAAAGCATTTTGTTTCTTTCTGGAGCCTTCACCAGGTTTTACAGAATGGATTAAAGTACAGCCTATATATAAAAACAATACAAAAGGCTTTTTGTTCTTAAATAAAGAGCAGATTATTTGAGTGAGTCGCCAAGTGGATTTTTAATTTTTTACTTCAGCACCTAGTTGGCTGCACTCTTCCTTTCGTTCCAATATATCGGGTAAATCCTGCTGGTGAAAACTAGATGCAGACTGGTATTGCAATGAAATTAAAAATATCAGTGTCTGATTGAATGGCCTTGTAAATTATCAGCCATCAGATATCTGCAAATGCATCAGTATGTTACTTCTTAATCACAAAGCAAGAAAGCTAATCAAAATTGGTGTGAATAGTGATCACAGATTTTCAAACTTTACCAATCATTTTAGCAGGAAAAAACAGACTCCAAACATGATCCAAACCCTCACATTAACCATTTTTAACAAATTACATTCAATTTGTAGATTTGATTGGCAATACACAAGCCTTGGAAAGCCCAATGCAGGGCCAAACAAGTCTTACATCTTACTTACAAAGCAACACTGCCCCCTTGTGTCTAACAATAACAATGACCTCAGTTCTACAGGTCCCTAGGATATAACACTATTATAAAACGCTGTTTTATCATTTTAGATGTTCATTCATTTTCTTATATTCAAGCCATTAGTCTAACACCTATCAATGGTTCTATTTTAGTATTATTCTATAAGCATCTATTATTAGTAACATTGTATTTGTATTGTTGTTTGTGATACGTTATCACTGACCAGCAGTCAATGGACATAATACAAAACACCACAATAAAACAACATCTTACCAGTAATCTTGTATCCGCTGGCAGCTAGCTGTCCGGCCATGTACTCTCCATCGGAGTTGTTATGACTGCAGCCCCACGTTTTCATCCAGATTTTTTGGGTGCCAGGGATCAAACTGAAAATGAACAAAAATTTGATGTTTTTGTTATATGATGTGTAGAAATGATAAAATCATTATCAAAACCTAATGTTATTGCAAAAATCTGCGATAAAACCTCTATCAAAAGCAAAGAAGCTTCTGTTAATTGTGTAAAAGTGTAGTGGGACAGCCCTTTAATGTCTAACCTGGTGGGTAAGCAGGCTCTGGTATGGTTTGTTTGTAGTGTGCAGTAAGCCAAGTGGATAGTAAATATGATATGGGAGATTTTCTCTGGTACATGAGAAAATGAAACCGAGTTAAAACAGAGGTGTGTTAAGCTTGTGTCCAACATGGTGTAATTTAGCAGTTATGCAATAAAAAGTGAGTGAAAAATATAGCCCCTGTAATATTAATGTCAGACACCTCTTTTTGTCCTGTTTTTACCTGTTCATTATTCATTATATGAGGTTCATTGGCATTCAATACATTATTTCTTCATGAGGCATTTGTGTCACCAAAGAAGTTTAATTTAAACAAACAACAGTAAAGTAAAGTGCTACATGACTTGCTGGCAAGATTCATGTAGCCCTGATGACGCAGGATGACAGTCACCATAACAGTCCAACGGATGAGTTACCCGCCAGTCCACAGGGCTTTATGTTTACGTATGTCGGTTCATCGGTAATAAGTCTGTGTGAACACGAAACAGACCAGAACAAAAATGCACCAGTAAATCATGTTTTCACAGCTACTGTCCTTGTTTTCCAAACAAAAACATTATGTACAACAAGCTGCACGTGGCACAGTTATAAAAATGCAGTTCTGCAACGTTTTACTTAAAACTTCTTTGATTGAACTAACAAAACCAACAACTGAAAATCATGTCTTTTTTATCTACCGGAGAATTTTCACATTTTATTCAGTGCTAATAAGGAAATATTAATAAATTACAGTCAACATACACCCACATGTGTATTATAATACTTTATAATACATTTACTGAAAAGCTTGAAATTAAGACAGACAAAATTAGCAGTTATCTGAACACAGGAAGGTTGATCATTTGTTAGTTCTGTAACTACTAAGCGACTTACTGGGAATTTAGAACTTACTTACCCATCATCAGCACAAAATAGGGATGAAATGATTACCGGTTTAACGATAAACCATGGTAAAATGCCCAACGGTTACTATTACCGTACAAATTGTAATTACCATGATAACCAGGTTTGATTAGCGTGCTATTATAAACTCACTGTCCAGCATCAACCAAAGTTAGCGACAGTCTCCCAGAAGCAGGTGCGCATGCACAGTATGCAACGTGGGTTTGTTTGGATCAGTGACAACATGGCGGACATTTTTCAGTCACTCTGAAGTCTGGTCATATTTTAGTTTTCATGAGCGCGCTGAGGGAAACTTGATTGAAAAAAAAAAAGAATCTTATAGTGAATGCAGGGTTAACTTTTAGCTTTGATATGTCTATCTGACTTGCTAATAGCTTGTAAACTGAAACTCTCAGGGTGAGCTGCTATTGTAAAAACACTACATGTTTTTCTACTGCTGTTTGCGTTGTGTCTGCAAACTATTCGTCCACTGCACATGATAACACGTTACACAGTTTAGTCAACCAACTAGGATATGTTGTTCATTTTAAATCTAGCAGCTATCAAATTAGTTGTAAAAGTGAAAGTGTCAGAGCAGGAGAAACCCTACAGCAGAGGTCGGCAAATAAGGCGAATAAAAATTATTCCAAATCATGTTCACGTTTAGGTAGGTTGTGAGATCGATTCTATCTTACTGCAGATGTTTTTTTCTCCCTTGTTAAACAAATGGAATAAAAGGACACCTTTTCACATGCTCACAATAAAGCATAGGCGGCAGTGTGTGTGGGCGTTCGATCCGCATTCATAAACCTATGGACGCTTATTTTCATTCCCCTGAGAAAACTCAAGGGAATCCAATCACACATTTACGGCTTTGTCAAAGGTGTGTCAAGCAAGCTAGAGACTCTTTTGAATGTCCTTCAGAACTCTTTAAAGTAAAAGCTTTAAACTTATTAAATAAACTTATTAATAAACTTGACATGAAGCATTGCTGCAAAAGACGTTCTCGTGCTTTTATTTTAGAGGCACAATCACTTAAGAGGAAGTGATGTGTAGCTGTCATGACATCTATTTCAGCATCAGCCGCTATCAATTTATTTTTTTATTTACTTTTCTGGCCAGATATTATTGCTGGCGGGCCGCCTATTGCCGACCACTGCCCTACAGACACTGTATTTACGTCAGTTGTTGGGCTTATCGCAGTTACTATCACTGTCTTCTGAAGACTTTGTTTTTATGTAATTGTGCATGAGATCATTGCATTACCTATATAAAATGAAATCTTGATAATGCACATTTAGATGGTTTTCATATGTTTACAAAAGGTATTTATGCAAACAAAATGGCAATTTTATTTGTAGTTTTAAATATAAAACTTGTTGAAATAGTTTCAGTGTATATCAATACAATTTAATCTTTTTTGGCACATTTTTACAGTACCGTGATTATACTGATAACTGTGATCTGTGATATGAAACTTTCATGCTGTTTCATCTCTAGCATAAAACATATTGTGCAGATCACAACAAACTCCAACCTCAACTACTGTACCACCATATTAAACAGTCGACATACCTGTCAGCATGGAGTTCCTCATTGCTCAGCAGCTCTGTTCTGTTCTTCCTGGACCTCGGTATGATATTCTTTCTAGCAGACTGTCTCTCGTGAGGAGTTGGGTCGCTAGAAGACACCATGTCCTCAATGTCATCAATCAGAGAGCCACAGGCGGATGGCATGGTGGTCTAAAAATCAGACAAACAAATAAAAACACAGTCTTGGTTAGCACAGCATTTTTCTAGAGACTCTCTCTCACACAGTTGAGACCTGTGAGTGTTCAATAAAACCCTGTGTGTAGCACACGCTGATTGCTAATTGCATTTAAAACCATGACTTCCCAAATAAACGCAAATATTCCCTGTAGCACAGTAATCTAACAAAATTACAAATGTAAAAATAATTAGCCTAATTACATGAAAAAGCAGTCTAAAGGTCACTTCTTTTATGTAAAAACTCTGGGTAATGGGATAAGATGATGTATGATATGACAGGGCCACTGAATTGAGGGAGGCATCCCTTTACCTTTGGTGCAACAAATATTGCATTGGTTGAACTGGACGAGACAAACTAGGAGCAGCATTTGATGAAAAGATATTACAACACCACAGTGAGGTAGCATAATACAGTATGACAGCAACTAACAACTATTTTTGTTATTGATTAATCTGACAATTCTTTTCTCAATGAATCAATTAGTCATTTGGTCTGTAAAACACCCGAAAACATTGAAAAGGCCCATCACAGTTTTCCAAGGCGATGTCATCTAATCTAAGTCTGACCAACAGTTTTCAATTTCATTATTTTTAATAAAACGGTAAAAGTGTACTGAGCTACCCGAGATACTAAGTTCATCCTATATACAGAGATAGTTTAACTTCTTACCAACAGATTTTATCTTTTCAGCTGTCTCTCACTCCGTTTGTGCTTTCTTATTCTTCTGGCCTTCTCTACAGTGTAAAAAGGGCTTTCATTATTCAACTGAACTCATCTTTCATTTGAATGATGCCACAGAAAAAAAGGCTATCAAGCTACATAAGTGGTGGCAGCAAAAACTTGATTAGTGGGTGCTAGGCCCAGTAAGTTGAGCAGATCAAGCAACCAGCCTGCTGAGACGTTGAACATATAACGTTAACGAGTACATTACAACTAGTTTGCTAGACTTAAGCAGACATAGTGAATATAAAATAAATGTAAATCACAGATACTTCGTTCCTCAGTTTGTCGAATAACCGTTAACGTTACAACTAACCAAAAATACCCGAATGGTCCCTTGTCTTAGTTGCTGAAGATGACACTTCACGGATGTCACGTCAAGGTCTGCGTTAATTATACATCCTAACGTTAACTGTTAATTGAAATTGAATTGACTTTATGTTAGTTATATTAACCTAACATTACCCGGCTCATATATATTTTCTCATTATCATCCGACACCCATAGCATTACCGCATTCACACCGGTGAAAAAGCTTCATTTGACAGATACCTACCAACCGACAGTTAACGTTACATTTAGTTAAATAACATGGGAAAGCTAGCTATTAGCTGGGCTAGCCTCATTAGCTAGCTATTACCCACGTGCCCCTTATTGTAGACCGGAAGACCCCTTATGATGCTATCAAACTCCCTTACCTGAGTGGCCATGTGGTTACTTAGTTCAGATAAATACGAATTCCGAAGAAAGGCTGTTTTACAAGTGGAATAAAATAGTATTTACACCATCAAAACAGTTGTCACAACTCTCAGGCCGCCATACTTGTGCGTAGCTATGGCAGGACAGGAGGGTCAAACTAGACACGTGTGTATTTTACACATGGAGACTGGACAATGCAAACATTTTTACCATATAATTTGAGGTATGCCTTTAAGAAGAGTAAGATATGAATAATTCAAAATATAGGCTTTTTTGTTTGTGTTTTGCCTTTAAGTCGCTGGTGTTTTTTTAAGCAGATCTGAGATTTTTCCTTGTACTTGCCTTCTATTATACTGCAAAATCATCCCTAAAGACATCAGAAACAAAACATTTCCATATTTATATTGCCTTTATTCAAATCTTCAATTACAAACACCCAGAGTACAAAAATGAATCCATTTATCCCTCCCCCCAAACAAATTCAACTCAAATTCCTCATTTAACAGATGTTAAAGAAACTTATATAAATGAATGAATAACACACATCAAAATTCATCACATTAACTTCAACATTCAACAGCACAGTGATACTTTCACCCATGCGTTCAAATTGCAACAAAAAAAATTTGATATTACAGCTCTTTTTTTCTGTAATTAGTCGAAACAGGCAGCAACATCATAATTTTACAGTCAAATCTTTCCTATCAAATAGTTAACTTTTCACATAACCTTTACACAATATTTACGGATCAGTATATTGTATTTGGTAACAGCTTAAGAATAACCATAGGAAAATAGCAGGAGAAACAGTGCTGTGTCAATCTTGACAATAGTTAACACCACATTTAGCCTAATGATAACTTTCCGTAAGGTCTAATCACACATCAGAATCACACATTAGAAATGAAGGAGCTGTAATTTTAAGAGTCACCCATAATACATTTTCAGACTCACTGGCAATGACACTAGCTTTAGCGGTGCATTAAAATCTTTCCCACTCCATTAGAAACCCATGGAAAGGTACAATCTTTCCAAAAATCATAATTTTCCTTCATGTTAAAGTGGATAAAATATTGTGACCAGATTCTGGTCGCTTGAAATTGATGGAGGAAAATATAATTACCTATGTTAATGGTCTTAGAAAATATCACAACCGTGGTTACAGAACCAAATGGGTGGAAAAACTGACTTTTCCATAAATACATATGAAATACACTGATATAAATATGCCTATGGGGAAATTGTTTTCTTTGAATCTGAGCATTTCTGTGCATTTAAGTCAAATTTCATTCCAGTATGATAGCAGCACTAATTAGGCAAAGTTATGCTGACTAAGAAATGTATTTTCTTAACTGAATGGGTGAAGTTCAGGTTAAAAATTGGGTTTTGAGTTTGCAAAGTAAAAACGCTGTTTTAACAGGCTTCAATGCTCTCCATCAAAGTGAAATTGGCAGAAATACAAAAAAAGAAAGAGAAAAAAAAGTGTTAAAGGCTCCCTCTCATCATTCCAAAAATAAAACGGACACACAGTGTCACAGAAGCAAAGCCCCCTACACACTTCAGCAGAGGACACGAGTCACTGATCCTGGTTCAGTGGTGTATATTTAGACATAGCAATGTCTCCTAATGACCAATAAAGGGCAGACAGGCTAACTGTGAATGAATGACTGCATGCATGAATTATTAAATTTATACTAACTTCTTTTTTGGGGTCTAAGAGACACTCTACATTTTTACCAAAGAAAAAAAAAACACTGACAAAACAAAATAACTTATGTAAAATATTTTAAAAAAACAAAACAAAAAATATATTGCAATACATTTGTCTGCTTTTCTACCCATCAAATGTGCAGCCCAATATTCAAATTTATGATGCAACACCATGAGACTGGTTTAAGGGCAAAGGCATACTCTATTATTATATCAGGCTATGAGTGGAATCTCGCACACATCAATGTAATATCAAACACATCGAAATAATAAAAGGGTAATTTCTATGATGAAAGGGAAGTCAAAGACGCATACACACAACGGCATTTACCTCTATGCCCTATTACTATTGTCCAACATTAAGTGGGAGGTAGCCTACAGTACCTTGTGCACTGAGAAATTTAGAAAACTGTACATCAATTTACACATGACCGACCTACCTACCTACCTACTCTTTAGCAAGCTTGATCTTTGACATAACTCACACATGCTGCACACGCCTTTGCTCAAGCGCACATCAATCAGGCCTGGGGAAAAGTTAACACTAACAGCAGCAATATTACCCGCGGTCGCAGGTTTCTCTAAAAGCCAGGGTTTCAGACAAGATGTTTGCACTATTAGAAGTGAACAACAATGGTGTTCCAAATGCCTAGACAGAAAGAAAAAAAATCGCATCCCTGCAGCTATGAATTCACCTCTAGCTGGCTTTTCTTGATTAACCACTGTCTGAACATTCAGTGGCCCCAAACAATATGACAGTATCACCAGGCCTAGTATGAAACATGGTTTAGTTACACTGAATTTGCTCCAATTTCAAAAACAGGTGTATGTCTTTTTTTTTCTTCCTTTCAAATTTTTTAAAACATCCTAGAGGGAAAATCCCTTCATTACATGCTGAAGCCCAAATTAGTGGCTATCTGGCCCCTTGTTACTTTGGTGACCGGGATATTAGTTATTTTTACAGTATTAAAAGCAATTAAAATTCAACACTTACTAAACCTAAAAAGACTAATATATCTCCAACACTGCCCACTCAGTATACGCTGAGTAGGCAGTGTGCATCACTAAGTGGTTCAAAGTCAAATTTTTCTGATTAGCTCAAACAACAGTATAACTTCACAGCACGCAGTCTAAGTGGTGAAGCATTAGGGGAGGTTTGGTAATGGAAGCTTCTACTGATGAAGCTGGAGGGGATAACTAAAAAGCAGCAAGAAAGTGGAAGTTTGGGTCCTGAATATGAAGTATCCATAAGAGTATGAGTCAGAGTATGAGTTGACATTCAGGTTCGCACATCACATGTGCCAACAAGCCGGATTTTTTTTGCTTAATCCCACTTTGCCCAGGTCGATGGGAGAGCATTTGTGTGCTGTTAGCACATGGGTCATGTAATGTAATATCCAATAAAGATCACAGTATCTGTTCCCATATTGAACGTTTTTGTATTCATTAAAGTGTAAATTTTCTATTACGTGTACAAAATATGAGGTTGCCCACTTAATCAGTAGATAACACCCTGGCAATTTTTTACCTACTAAATTCATTTTAAATATGGAGCAAATAGCACAAGGGAGAAACAAATCATGTGCAGTGGGATCAAACTAAATACTAGCCGTAAGGCATACTGTAAATAGTTTTTGCACTTAACATTTGTGTACACGTCTTCTTTTAGAGCATTTAGAGTATACAATACTATTATTTTCCTTAAAATTGGATTGGATTATGTCATGTGCACGTCTAAACAGTATACTAACTTCCATGCAGCTCTCAATACATCTAAATAGGGCTGAAAAATGCACAAAATACTCATACTCTTAGTAACTTTATGATTATAAGGCCAAACAGCACAACCTGACAAGTGTGTGAGAGGGCAAAGCCTGCCTCACCGTAAGATAACCGTAGTCGTGAATGCTGTGCACCAAAATTACCCTCTTTTTTTTAATATTCACTTTCATTTCTAAAATGTTCTACATTTAAACACACAAAATGCCTCAGTCAGCAGTATGAGCCTTCCATCGCATATCATTGGTGTAAATGAATGCAATCACAAAGAATTCTTCAGAATATCCTCAGCCATAGCACATGGCATTAACACATCTTAAACTCTGGGAAATTTTCAAGAGCGAGTTACCTGGATGAATTTGGAAACCTGACAAGAAAATGCATCACTGGGAACACACAGATCAACCTTATCCTTTCCTTGACAAGACGCAGATTTATGGGTCTGTCAAATTCCCATATTTGCAGGATCGGTCAAGATTTAAACAGTAAACACAGTTCTCTTCCCCCTTCTTGATCATTCTACAGATGGCTTTTGGTGAAAGTATCTGTGCATCTCAGGTGCATTTACACTTGGATGTTAGGCTAAACCACACCCATGATTTGTGTTAATTCCAGGTGGTGTGGAGGTGTGAATTTTGCGCCATACAGAGGGGAATATCCTCTCCCCTCCCCATTTATACTTAACCAAACAGACAGCGAAGGATTTCAGATGTCCCCCAATGCCAAGCTACACTGGAGGCCACATAGCCTGAGACAAAGAGTAATGGATACATCTTCACAATCACCAGTCATGTCTTTCTGTGAACCGTTTATCTCATATGCCATGTAAGAACATGGCATTTCTTCCCACTGGGACTGAAAAAGCCCTCAATGTTTCCTTTCAATCAATTTTGAATTGGCTTCCAGTCACAGGCATCAAAACACTCACTGATTCTCCATCTCTCTCCCATGCACCTAGTCTGAATTTCTATTACCTAATGCTAGCTGCACAGAAGATCATCCAGGCCGAGAGAGGGCATTTTATCAAAGTCACAGGTGTCAAACAAGTCGCTGATTCCCTGGTCATCTCCCAAACCTAAAAGGTAGTCATCTTGGTCAAGAAGAGGTGGCCCAAGGTTTAAAAAAGGTCCCAGGGATGAAGACATCTGGTCGTCCGTCTGCTGAAGAAGACTGGTGTAAGGGGACGAGATGGGGGAGAGAGTAGTGACGCACACAGCTGAGGAGGATAAAGGTGGAGGCAGGGAGGAGCTGGGAGTTGTCGTGCAGCTGGGATCTGTGAAAGAAATTGGGAGTCACAAGGTAAGCTAAACAGGTTTGTAGGCCAAAAGGGGAGACCAAATTTCAAATCTGCTCAAAAACACCTTTCATAGTCTTATCAAAGACAGTTTGTTTTCTTTGGGGGCTTGGAACGCTGCATGGACACAAGCAAGTTGTGCATTGAACAGAGATTAGGTTAACTGTTATTCATCCAGCTAATCTGGGGGTTTTGTGGCCACTGGGAGGGACTGTGGGACTAAAAACAAATCTTACTGTAGTGCCAGCTCTCCAAAGCATTGCACATTTGACTCTTAATTTGCTTCATTGTCCATACTAGTTAAAATAAAATGCTAATCAGCAATACTCAGCATTGTAGACATCTTTGTTTATGC